GTCTTTAAATTATCTATCTATCTATCTATCTATCTATCTATCTATCTATCTATCTATCTATCTATCTATCTATCTCAGGAGCTGAATTGCTTCTTACCTGTGATGAGATAGAATTAGTAACTAAAAGCTGCATTCTCTGTATTCTTGTAAAACCTCTTTAATGCAGAGATGTGTTCAGATTCATCAATATTCTTTAAAATGTTTTGATTTTTATGAAAATACTTGGCTCTGCAGAACTTTAAATCATTGTTTTTAAACTTATAATACATTTACATTTAAAACTTTTTAGCTGCTTATCTTTTTAATGTAGTATATCAAATGCTGAGTTTAAAAAAAAATCTGTTTTCAAGAACTATTTGTGCTGAGAGATCTTCTACAGTATATCCATGTTCTGTTTATCTGAGCCTGAAAATCATTAAGCTAATTAATAGATGGTAAGAGACAATCAGCCTCTGAAAATGAATGTTTGGTCAGAACATCTTGGTTCTTTTTCCTCACTGAAATTGGTGCATATTTTGGAGCTAATGGGTTTTTTCTGCAGCTCACCCATCACCTGGCATTTCAGACAAAGGCAAAGCTTGTCTGTTATTAGGAAAAAGCGAGTGCTGAATGTAAAAAGATGGGAACGGAAAGGGTAATCAGAGCTATTGCTATTATCCCAGCTGGCAGTTCCAAATGTCCTGCCTCCAGAAATGAAAGCAAGAGGCAACCACTAAGTTAGGCTTCCATCCACTTGCAAGCCTGATACTAGCTTGGTTACTTTATTCCAATATGCCTTTGTTTCACACTGCCACAAGTACAAATTGCTTTCTTGTAATACCTTCCCGCTCCTATGTGGTTAGTTTTCCTCCATGTTTCTATTCTCATAGCTTTTCCTAGATTTTATAACAGTATTTTCTCCCTTACTTCACAGATTAGCCAGTTGCCCTGTCATGGATCATTATTTTATTTTATTAAGGACTTTTATAATATACTGTCTTCTCATACTTAACACTGAACCATAATAAGGCTGTAAGTTCCTGCTTTTCTTAACCCTTAACTTAAAGATACTGGCTTTATCTCAAACAGCTGGTAGCAAAAGTCATGAGAACATTGTCATTCATTTCAAATACTAAAAAGTATTGCCCTCTCCTCTCCTCTCCTCCCCCAAAATTAAGAACTTGGGTCATTTCTGCTATTTCACTTTTCCCTAAGAAATGGGATGAGGAGGAAGAGGAGGAGGAGGATGGATGGATGGATGCATGGATGGATGGATAGTCTGAAGAATGCTGGTAATTTAGGATCAATTCAAGCTTTATCCCAAAGTCTAAGAATTGTCTAAATACTACTGTAATATGTATGTGTATGTTTGGTTCCTAGCAAAGCTATTTTTGAACCTAGCTATTGTGAGGTCAAATAATTTTATCAGCTGTTGACAATTCTATTAATACAGCTTCTAATGCTCCAGTAATTCTGGAGAAAATGTTTGCTAGTTTATTCCATAATATCTCTATTTCAGTTGTTGTCTCAATATTTCATAATCTTCTCCATTCCTTCTGAGCTACTCTGCTGCCAATTGGTATTGCCTTATCTATAAGTAAAAATTGCCTTTCTTCAACTAGTGTGCTATCCAATATGTTGTGTTCTAGATATCAGTCCATCTGAAAAATCCCATTAAAAATTTAAATGATCATTCTGGAGCATTTGTTCTACATTGTGGTCATACCAATATTTGGGGACATCAAGTCCATAATTTTTACATAAATTCCAATGTACCATCTTTGCCATGGCATCATGTCTTATCTGTCTGGGCAATTTTGTGATAGCCACTTCTTAGATGGTCAATAGTTTGGTCTTTCTCTTTGCATAATTTACATCTGCTGTTGTTTCCAATTTTTTGCATTTTTATTTTTATA